ACTACAGTAGGGCTGCAACTAACTATTATTTTGCAAATTGATTTATCTATTTGTTTTTTTTTTGTTTTTCTTTTTGCTTTTTTGACTAATTATCAGATAGCAGTAGAAGACTATTTATGAAATTAAACAGGTGAAACTCAAACTTTTCAATTTGTGGAGTTCTGGCTAGAGCATTTTGACAGATTCTTTTTTTTAAATCTTGAATGCAAAATGTTTATTTTTTTTTTTACAGTTATAATATCATTAGTGCTCTAAGTAGGTTGCTCTGTCAGCTAAAAGCAGGTTTTAGAGTCTCTGTATTCAGTTAAAGGTTAATCGATTACTAAATTAGTTGACGATTATTTCAATTATCAATTAATCACGATTAATCTGATTAACTGTTTCAGCTCTAGCAGCTACAGTCAAGCCTACATTTGATTGTAGCTTTCTAGACTCTTTTGCCATCACCTAAGAACAGAAAATCATATTTTGCTGGTAAAACATCCCTCTCTACCAGTGGATGTTAAGATCTGCAAGACATTTTGTTTCAATCTTGTATTTTCCATTATTATTATTAAGGATAGGATTACATACAGAATGCTGTTGCATTTTAAAAATATGCAAAGGGAACATAGAGATAAAGTTATTGCCTTACATCCTTCTACTTGGGGCATTTTGAAAGGATCTATCCCTTTTTTCACAAGTGTTGCTCAAAGTCCTTACTGTTCACCTCCGTCCTGCATCATTATGCAACCATAGAAACAAATGAAGACATGTGATATTTGTTAAACACAACGGTTCATGCTAATCCATGTGGTATGTTGTAATACCATCAACCTGCTGATGTTCTCCATACAGCCTTGTTTAGTTCTCTGTTTGCCAGGCAGTTTAATTGGTGGAGAGGCTTCAAGTCTTTCTCCAGTGACCTCATTACCCCAATTAAATTTGCAGTTCTCTCTGCAAACAGCTCATCCCCAAATGATGTCTGAAATTCACTCCCAGTTTAACCGAGGTTGACTTGGCTGAGTGGAAAAAGCAGTGACATGGTTTTGTCTTCAGTTTAGTTCAATGTTACACTGTCTGATATCTTAAAAATGAAAGAAATATAGATATTTTTTTGTATTTCTTGGATTGTTTAACCTTTATAAATGTTATTATAATGATATTTGACAAGAAAGTCCTTTTTTTTTAACGGCTGTGTCTTAACGACAAGTCTTGTACTAAACATACCAACAACATCACATCATTTTCTTCATTCTCCTGAAGACATCCTACATTAAAAATAGAGTTCTTCCAATGAGGAATTCTTGTATCTCTCAAGTGCCAAACCTAATTTCTTTTTTTTTTTTTTCCAGCTGAAAGCCAAGACTGTTGATGTGGTTGTTCATTTCTTAATTAATGTTGTCTAAGCAGGTCCAAGCCCATGTTTTGGGTGCCTGGAAATGTTGCTTTGCTAATTAGCAAACCCTTAGGACCAACCTTTATATTTCATGTAAACTTAAAATAAAAAACAGTGACTCATGAGATGAGCCAATCTGTTTGCTGATACTTTATTTTGCTTGCACTGAAATAATTTGGTGCTCCTTCAAAAACATGCAAAAGTCTAATGTCTAACACTTTGGTTAGAGATTAAAAAAATATTGTTTCCTATCATTTCCATTTAGATGTAATTGTATATAGGCAACTAGATGATTGGATTGTACGGAGAAACAATGATAGCAGAGATTACTTTTCTTTAGATCAAAACTGCTTTGCTTATTGATCATGCCGCAAACATAATTTCTATCGATGAGAGGTTTTCTCTCCCACAAAAGCAATGAAATTGGGTTAATCAGCAGTGGAACGGTACCCAAAACGTGAAAGATGAGTACATCCAGTTATCAAATCAGATGTGACCTCTTTGCATAATCAAACCATGCAATGTTGATCTCAGTAAAAGTTAGATGGGACTCTGATTTCAAAACAAAAAACAGTTATTTTATAGTTTTTTTTGTCAATGTTTAAAGACGAAACCTCCACCGTTGCTAATTAAACATCCCTATTGTACTTCTCCCTAGAGATGTACATTAATGGCATTGCTTTTAGGCAAATACACCGTCATATCAGTCTTTACCTGACAATGGAAAAAGACTGTTCCTGATTTATTAAGCAGGCCTCCATCTCCAGTGCTGATGCTGTAGAATAACACTAAAAAAGATTCATACAACATAAGTAAATATGTCATTTTTAATTGGAGCAGGAAAGCTTTAAACTGATGCCGTCAATGGGAAACAGTAGTTCTGTGTTTTCAAAAGGTTATAAAACGGCATAATTTTGAAGACAGTAACGGGATCAACGATCAAATTTACAACAAGCAGCTAATTATTGAAACATCTTTCTTTAGAATACCTTAGATTAAAAGAAGTGAGAGAAATAATTTTACACTAATTGAGCTGTTTGTCCCTATCGGTCCCTTAACGGTCCAGATAAGGTGTTTATCTGACTGGGCTTATGGATTTGTTAAGGGATCCAGAGGGAAGGGCTTGTCCAGGTCAACATTCATGCAAGAATCGTCTCCAATGAGTGCATCACACACATTTGAAACAGATTTAAGGAAAAAAAATAATCTGGTAAAAGTAATTCAATGCTTGATATGCTTTTCAAAGCTGCACACTAACTGCTTGATTGAGTCGAGGGCATTTTGAGCAAGCAAACCATGAATGGAGGGGGAAATCAATAAAGTGTTTGTCCACTTCCTTACTCATTAAGGAACCTCTATTCACATCAGGATCTATATATGACAAAGAAAGCTCACAAGTGCACAGTTTCACTCCAAGAAGGGTGTCCTTTCTCCCCACTTAAAGCCCTCCCCTGATCAAAATTCGCCTCACAGAATCACTGTGCCAGAGGGCCAAGTCTTTGCAGGGGGCGGGCCAGTGAGGGGGGGGGGGGGGCAGGCAATCAAACGAGTCCCTTTTCACAGTCAGGATGGTGAACAGAAAGGCCCGCTTACCTACAGGACCTCATTTTCTCCCAAATATTTACTGTCCAGGAAAACGACAAAGGACATTTACGTGATTACTACTCATTTTAGGCAATTAACAATTATCTTACATTTTATTTTTTAAACCAAAAAAAAAAACCCCACATCAGAGCTAGGTAGCAGTGCAACAATTTTAATTTATTTAACCCATGATTCATGGAAGCTACAGTGGATCAACTCAGCTATTTAACTTTCTGCAATAAGTAACTGTAACATGGTAACAATGCTTGTATGTAATGATTACTGGATTTTTCTAATAAGCCTTTGAAACGGAAAGGTTTTTTTTTAAAAACTGTGTTAAATTTCTGTACTTTATAGGTCATGCATAACCACTTTGTCTAAATAAAATAGGTTTTGTCAGCACCTTTTTGTCAGTTTCCCAAAATTATTATTGCAGTAGTCTTTTTCTAAGCCTTTATTTAACCAAGTTAGTCCCGTTGAGATCTAAAATGTATTTTTTTGAAAGAGAGACCTGGCCAAGAGGACAGTAGTAGATAATTTGAAACATATAAAACACTTAAAAACCATAGAAAACATAAAAAAAAAAAAAAATCAGAAAGTGAAAATTGGCAGAAACTCACTTAAAACATTGACACACATGATAACAAAGATTTTACATTATTTTTTTCAGAAGGGTTTGAATGTGAAGGTAAGAAAAAAATTTGTTCCAGGCACTGGGTGCTGAAAACCTAAAACTCTTGAAAATAAATAAAAGCAAAAAAATTGTTATTCTGCATTCTTATGAAAAACTTCTTTGAGCATTTTAGTATTAATCTTAAATCTTATTTTCTACAGAAATAGAATAGAAAATCCCTTTATTGTGCCACAATGGGGAAATTGTTGCCTTACAGCAGCAGCAAAAGAATATAGCAGAAGTGGTCACACATTGTGCACCTTAGAAAACTGTATAAAAATAACATAAAGGGAAATAAAACAAATAAAAAGTATTGTACTGTACACTTTTTTTTTTTTTACAATATAATAATAAAGATAATTAAATATATAAAGATTTTTAGTCAAATCTCCTGTACATGTAATGTTTGATCATCACTTATGGATGTAATATCAAATAAACAAGCATTTAAAAAAATATAAAAAATTTCACCTTTTTACTATAAACTGACCTTAAGTGTTTATATACTGATGTATTTGATCTGCACAAAGCAGATCATAATAAACCGTACTAAATGTTTAGTATTTTAATGTTTTTGAAGTCATTTGCCCAAAACTCATTATCCACGGTCTGTTCTCTGCTTTAATGCGCTTTATATGGGAATAATTTCCCAACATATTTTTGTTGGAGTTTTCAGAAAGAATCCATTACAACCAACATGTACATTTGCTGCCTTATCTAAAAAAAAAAATGAACATTGATTCATTTAAACAGAATGAACGGCCAACTATGTATGTCAGTTTTCTATTACTCTGAGACATACTGGTGATTTATTTAGTAAAAATCTAATTAAAACCAAGAACTGTAAGTGACTGGTTGATGCTCCCACTCCTCCATGAGATTTCTGTAAAGGATGAGGCACCTAAAAGCTGTTTATTTTAGTGCCGCACCTGCTTGAAAGATAAACTGTGCCATGGAATAATAATTGTTTTTAATCAACAATAAGAATGTACCATTTATTTCAAATGTTGGGTTGAGAGTTTCACTATGCAGATTTCAGAGAAACGCAAAAGCAACATGTCAGACTGAAGAAAAACAGCAAGCTTCCTGTTTGAGTTTTTATAAAATAAGATAATTCCTGGCATAAATAGATCCTTTAAAATTATTAAAATCAGAAATCTGGTATTAAATAAATAAATATTTTGGTTTGAAATTAGGAAAAAGGTTATATTTTCCATGTATTTTTCATTTTACCACACCTGTAATCTAACTAGTGTTTATTTTTGATAAGCTCTCCTATAATATCCTGTGTAGATGGTGGTAACTTCTGACAGCTTTATGTTCAGATCCAGCTGCTCGCTCGTGGAGAGGGAGAGAAACCGTGTCTTGTCTTTTTTTCTGCCCTTCACTTCAGAATTTGGCGCTCCTGTGGTCGCGCTCAGCTCTTCTGCGCGGAGCTGCGAGCGTCCGAGCTTTTCCTTCACCTGGATAAATACGCATTACTGCATTCTACCCTGAATTTATTTATTTTTCTTTACAATCAGTATTTTTATATATATATCCCTATCATGATTTGCTTTTTACCCCTCTTTGCGGCTGTTTGAAAGTGATAGACTGCAGTGTGTTGTGCGCTCTAGTTTGCGCCAGCAGAGACTGGCAATATGTAATTTCGATTACAGCCGCGTTTTTTTTAGGGATAAGTGGAATATTCCCCCTTTTAAACAACTGCTTCCAGTTTACTTTGTGGAGAAGAGATCGTGATACACAGTGATGGTCTGAGGTTGTTGAAACTAACTGCAGAGTGGATTCTATCATTTTGGAAACTGCTTGTGGGTAAGTTTAATGTTGCCTCCCTTCGGTTTCCAAAGTTGTACTGGATGCACTTTTGCAGTTAATTTGGCGTTGATGCTTATTTATTATTCTTTTCTTTTTTTTTTTTTTTTAGCAGAATCTGCATCAGTTACCAGTGAATGTTTGCGTTAAACAAGGTCTGCATATATGCGGCACTACCAGTAAATGCGCATTTTGAGGAGAATACCTCTCCTTCCGAGTTACGCATGGATCTCGCTCGCCGTTTCTGTTGCGGTCGGAATCTGTGCGGGAACCGCAGCAGGCACCGCAGCTGGGCTGCTGAAATCACACACAAAATTTTTTTCTCTTAATAAAAAAGCAATTCGAGCGCAAGTCGATCTGCCTAAGAGCGATTTTACGCATCGTTTTATTCCCCTTATAATCGGGTACCAATGCGTGCATCCTGTGCGTCAGCATCGTGCGCTACTGTGTGGTGGATTCATAGGCGGCTGGAAGATCCCGAGCTCAGTTCGCCTCATATCATTTCTGCAGAGTGATCGTTTCCTCTCTATTGCATACCGTTTCCTCTCCCCCCTGCTTTAACTGATGATGGATTATGATTGTCCATATGGATGCTGAAGTTCCCCCTCTGGCTCTAATCAGATTAGGGCTTGCCAGTTGAGCATATCTGGGAATCAGCAAGTGACACTGATGCAAAGTTAAAACCTTCTCTCATCCACTAGAAACGAGTTGTAGAGGGTGCTGTAAGCCTGCATTTTATCAGAGAACCTCTGCATGCAGAGATGCTGTTTTAATATCTCCTGCACCAACTTCCCTATAAAGTTCTTGATTTCCCTGACCGTCCTCTGGTTGGGCTGGTTTCTCAATAGACAATTATTGGATTAAAATAATCTGAAGTTCCCCATGTTATTTTCATAACATCTTTATTCGTTTTTAAAACCTGGGGTGAAGCTTGGCCACAGCAGCACCAAGCACCATATGAATTAATAGGTCTGTGGCAGCAGCCACTTAACAGCAGCCCTGCAGCTACATATTGAGCTGAGTCGAGTGCTCTCATACAGAAATTGATTTAGACAGGGATTACGTCATCCGGCAATGGCATTCCACCCAGACCCCCCCCCACACATTCTTACAAGTCAAGTTTATCCACCCAAATCATCTTGTGTTCCTCGATAAGGTTTGGACTGCAAACAGTGGACGTTTTGCGCACTATAACCTCTAATTAGACATTGTAGTTATAGCGCCTTGTCAAAGTAATGATACCTCTTAAGTTTTATTTGATTTTTTGTTTTGTTTTTTAATGAGTTGGACCACCACATTGTACAGCACAATTGTAAAGTAGAAATAAAGTAAAACATGGTTTTCAGAATTTCTTCCAAATAAAAATCTAAAGAAAATATGTATATTTAACTGCTTCACGTCTATTCAACCTCATAGATCCCCATGTACACAACTGCCTACAGACGTTATCTAGTACTCACAACATTTAAGTTTGTCAGAACTGATGGGGACAATCTGTTAACTGGATAAACGGAGTGAGAACCTGTGGGAGGAAAAAAAAGACTAAACTAGGATGTAAATTGGATTGTTTTTAGCTGCACAATGACCATAAACTTGTAGTTTGAGAGCCACTTAGTCCAGACACAAAATAAATTGGTACTATGTGGTGATACTTGGAAAGTGAGTACAGGGATGCCCTCTATCCAGTATATCTTGACATTTAGCTTTTTGCAAAGAATGGCTAAAGAAAAAAATCTATCAATAGATGTGCAAATAGTGATCCTTTGTAGGATTTGCTACTGCAAAGTAAGAAAAGGTTGTTATACAACATTTTGTGGATGTTAGATTTGATCAGTAAAAATATTAAAGAATATTTGTATCTGTAAATTTAGAGAATCCTCTAGTTATATCACAATTTTTTCCTGTAACTATATTTCTTAATTTAAGTGTGTGTTTGTAAAATTTCTCCTAAAATTAATGTAGGGGTATGATAACTTTTTTTAATGACAGTGGATACACAATAATTGTAATGTTTAACAATCTGTAGCCACGTTATATGTACATATGCTGGTCATTATTGTAATGCTCAATTGTCTGCAGAGTTTTAACATGGATAAATGCAGTGGAGCTAATTTGCTAAATGACTTCTAACCTTGACGTTGCAAACTGTTCCAAAAGATGACTTGCATAAAATGAGGACATGACTTTCAAACTCATTCAGCTTGCATTGTTCTGTCTACTGGACAGAAGGATGTGAAAACATCCCACATTTGTTCTACTCCTGTCCTGATTGATGCTTTTAATTTTCAAGGAGCTGTCACAGAGGCCCATTGGCCTTGGGTTTGCAATCAAGGGGCCAGACAGTCACAGGCTTTCAAATGAAAGAGTTCATTAATGCGGTGGGAAATAAGGCTTGTCTAACTGTAGAATATTGGCTCTATGTGAGGAGTGATTGGAGCAATTGATGTGGATTTGTGAGCTAGGTTGTCAGAGAGGAAGTTGAGATCAGCCTACCTCAATCATGGCTGTTAAATGACATTAATAGGACTCGAGGGGAAATGGGAAAACCCACAAGGCAACTGTGTTTGTATGTGTGAGAACCAGTGCATGTGTGTGCTAGTATCCCAAGTGTATTGACCCGGTGCATCTTTCACTGCTGCTTGGCACTGCTGAGCAGAGTTATTGGCTGTTGTGAAATCTGAGCTTTGGAAGCTGCGGACGACATGCATAACAGGCATGCTCAGTTAAATCTTTTGAAAATCCAATTCCTCTGAAGATGAGATTCCTCTTTCCTTATGCCTTGTTCCATTTTCCATTGCAATCATGAGGCATCGATCTTATCCCGACTCATTTATTTTTGTTGCAGCTATCATGTCAGGAATTGATAAGTATGGAAGAGCTGATAAATAACAATATATCTTTGAATGCGGCTTCTCCTTCAGAAGACTCATAACAGGAAATGAAGTAGTGCCTATGGGCTTTTTTACTTTTTGGAACATCAGGAAGACCTGCAAGCTTCATGAATATACATAACGTGTGTATGTGTGCATGTATACAGATAGGTAGGTGTGTATATATATATATATATATATATATATATATACATAAGAGAGTGAGAGCCACTATCCAGGATGAAGCATCTAATATCCATATGTACATCAAGGACAGGGCTCCAACAGACGACGTGCTCAGTGAATGTCTAGTGAATGTCTCAGACAATGGGGAACAGAAGATAAGGTGATAGAGGTTCCATCATGGGAGGATAAGGGGATACATGGGATGTACCACCAAAACATAACCGAAGTGGCAGATATCAGAAAATCCTACCAATGGCTAGACATATCCGGACTGAAGGAAAGCACAGAGGCACTCATCATGGCTCCACAGGAGCAGGCTCTGAGCACCAGAGCAATGGAGATCCAGATCTACCACACCAGATAAGACCCCAGGTGTAGATTGTGCAAAGAGGTCCCTGAGACAATCAGCACATAACTGCAGGGTGTAAGATGATTGCTGGGAAAGCTTACATGGAGCGCCATAACCAAGTGGCTGGAATAGTATACAGGAACATCTGTGCAGAGTATGGGCTGGAAACCCAAAGGTCAAAGTGGGAAACACCTCCAAAGATGGTAGAAAATGACTGAGCCAAGATCCTGTTGGACTTCCAGATACAGATGGATCAAGTGGTGATGGCAAACCAACCAGACATTATGGTGGTGGAACAAAAGCAGAAGAAAGCCGTTGTGGTTGACATAGCAATACCAAGTGACTGCAACATCAGGAAAAAGGAACATAAGAAGCTTGAGAAATACCAGGGGTTCAGAGAAGAGCTGGAGAAAACCTGGAAGGAAAAGGCATGAGTGGTACATGTGGTCATTGGGGCACTCTGGGCAGTTACCGAGTGATTACAGCAGATCCCTGGAAATACATCAGACATCTCGGTCCAGAAAAGTGCACTTCTAGGAACAGCAAAGATAATGCGCAGAACCCTCAAGCTCCAAGGCCTCTGGCAGAGGACCTGAGCTTGGAGGAAAAGAGGGGGTAGATCGCCCATGGTGGGAAAGGAAGAGTTTAAATATATATACACTGCTCAAAAACATGAAAGGAACACTTTGAAAACACATCAGATCTCAATGGAGAAACAAATCATGCTGTTTATTTATACTCATATGGACTAGGAGATGTGTTAGGAACAAAAGGATGCAACATCATTTGATGGAAATGAAAATTATCAACCTACAGAGGGCTGAATTCAAGACACCCCAAAAATTACAGTGAAAAAATTATGCAGCAGGCTAGTCCATTTTGCTGAAATTTCATTGCAGCAACTCAAAAGGGTATTCAGTAATTTGTATGGCCCGCACGTGCATGTATGCATGCCTGACAACGTTGGGGCATGCTCCTAATGAGACGACGGATGGCGTCCTGGGGTATCTCCTCCCAAATCTGGACCAGGGCATCACTGAGCTCCATGGATATGCCTCCCCAGACCATCACTGACCCACCAAAAAACCGGTCATGCTGAACGATGTTACAGGCAGCATAACGTTCTCCACGGCTTCTCCAGACCCTTTCACGTCTGTCACATGCGCTCAGGGTGAACCTGCTCTCATCTGTAAAAAGCACAGGGCACCAGTGGCAGACTTGGCAATTCCGGTGTTCTGTGGCAAATGCCAATCAAAGTCCATGGTGCTGGGCAGTGAACACAGGGCCCACTAGAGGACGTTGGGCCCTCAGGCTACCCTCGTGAAGTCTTTCTGATTGTTTGGTCAGAGACATTCACACCAGTGGCCTGCTGGAGGTCATTTTGTAGGGCTCTGGCAGTGCTCCTCCTGCTCCTCCTTGCACAAAGGAGCAGATATCGGTCCTGCTGATAGGTTGTAAACCTTCTACAGCCCTGTCGAGCTCTCCTGGAGTAAACACCTGTCTCCTGGAATCTCCTCCATGCTCTTGAGATTGTGCTGGGAGACACAGCAAACCTTCTGGCAATGGCACGTATTGATGTGCCATCCTGGAGGAGT